TGCGTCGTTAGGTGATTTTGTCATACAAACATCATAGAGAGTACTTACACACTTAGATGGTACAGCCTACTACACATGTAGACCATATAGTGGTAATCTTATGGGACCACTGTTGTATGTCTGGTTCATTGTTGACTGAAACGTTATTATGCGGTGCATGGGTGCATGACTCCATGACCTAAAATTCTGTTTTGTTTTGTTTTTTTTTTCCCACTGCTCTGTTTGAATTCATTTACTGTGAAATCGCACTCAACAGCAATGGGATTTTGTTCTGTGTTATTAGGTTAGCAATGCTAGGGCCCTGTTGTTGGTGAATATACTACAGTAATTGTGTCAGTACACTACTTGATTTTGAGCATGTTCCTTTTTTTCCCCCGACCCTTCTTTAAATTTGGTTTATTTCATGGCCATCTTTTTTTATTTCTCCTAGTCTTTTCCTCAGTTTTCCTACATTCTTTGCCTCTTAGCCTTTTTCGGATACATTCATAAGCATAGCTTTCTCTAATCAGTGGCTCCCAGGTCTAAAGAATTGGTTGACTCTTGAAGTGGGAATACTTATACTAGAAAGAACTCGCCTAATTTTTGCACAGTTGTGATCTGGTCAGAGATGACCAGTAGTTGAGACAATGTTGAATGTATGTGTCTTGAATATTTGCCTGTTTCATCTGCTTCATAGGATTTCATTCTAAGCAGGAGTTATTACTCTAGAAGACAGCTCCTTGATAAGAAAAAGTCAACCATTAGTGTTACTAGGTTAAATCTGTGTTCTGAATTTCTATACTTTAAAAGGAAGAAAAACACTTGAACAATAACCTCTCATGAAATGTAGAAATGTAAGAACTGATTAAACATGCCTACTGCTTTGTATGAATGATTTCTGTTACACAATTAGAAGTGAATGTTGTGCTGCTAAAAATAATTTTATTGTGAATTTTGATCAAAGAAATGGTCCAATTGAGAAGCGCATCAATGCAAGGAGAGATTAGTTACTGAAATAATTGTGTTTATTTTAAGGTTGGGGAAAATGTGGTATTTTTCCCCTTAGTTAAACGAAGAGCAGATCCATTGCTAAAGTATGTTTAAAAGTGGGATGCTAAGTGACTGCCTCTCAAAACACTATTTATTCCATACTTCTGATTTGGTATTTCAGTTGTGATGTATGCATGGAAGCTATACATATACTGCCTATCTTAGCTTTTCCATAGGAAGAACTAATTTCTGTATGTAATGTTAACCTTTTTTTGAACTTTGTGTGCCATTTTAGAGTTGAGAAGATGCTGACAATCTAATACTTTTCAGATTTCCCACCCCTTTCTGTAAATACATTCTTACTCCAAAATGTAAACAAACAGCAACTTGCCTACTTTGAATAAAATGGAGGTTGGGGAGAATGGAGGTCTTCATATATACACTACCTACACGCACTCCCCCTGAAGTGATGCTACAGAGTTCTCAGTGTTTCAAGGAGCACTGTTTGGAAACCACTGTTTTGTCCAAATTCTGATTTTATAAGGGAAGAAGTTGAGATCATGTAATTTATTCTGTAATCAGGCTGTTGGTAGCAGAATTAGGTTTCGAGACAGATTATCTTGACTCTAAATCAATTTTTTTCCCTGAAATTTTTGTAGGAAATCATTTTATGAGAATACAGTTAGCTAAGATTAGGATTGTCCTAGAAGTTTTATGGAGGGTTTTTTTTTGTTTTTTTAACTGATAGGATATTATTTGATTAGAAGTACCTTGGCCTAACTCTGTACATAGCTTTGGGCATATTTAAATATTGATGGTAGATGTAAAAATGACAAGCTGACATAATACAGTTGTGGACAAGATAAGCAGTCATTTAAGAGTATTATTGTCTTATTTATTCTAGATAGTGAAATAGAAGAAGAATCTGAAGAAGATGAAGATTATATTCCATCAGAAGACTGGAAAAAGGTAGAGTCATATTTTCCCAAAACTTAGATAAATATTTAAAAAGCCAAGTATAATTATTTTTTTACTAACTAAATATATTTATGAAACTGAAGTAAGCCCATTTGTAACATTTAAATGTTTGATAGATGTTCAGGTTTCTCTTAGTATATCCAAGTGAGAAAAATATTTATCTTTTTATAGAATAAAATAATAGTATAGAAAGAATTGGATTTTGTTGACCAAGTTGGTATTCAAACCAAGATTAGAAATCCACATTTCTGCACTAGTGCTGAATTAGACTTTTGTTGCACTGTAAAAAGTATCACGTAATTTTTTTTTATATACTTGGGAAAGCAATTGTGGAGGCTTTGGTTTTTGTTGAGTAAATTTTGTTTACTAATTTGGATTATAGGTTTTTCCATCCCATGTTAATGTTGATATTTACAGCTCAAAGTATATCGTATGAAGAGACGGATTTGGGCTTCCGTATAACTATCTATATTAAATAAGTTAATTTCTAAAAATGAATCTAAAGATAATATATTGATGTAAGTTTTTAATTATAAAATTGTATAACATTGTGTAATTAATCATATAGTTAAATTGAATTAATTTTAAGCTGTTGCAAAGCAGTTGACTTATTAGGAAAATGTATCAAAATGTCATGTAGAATTGGTTAGAGCAAATCATTTAGAAATGATGTCATTCTTGTTGAGATGGATCACCCAGTTTTCCTTTTAAAAACTCCATTGAGTTTTTTTGTTGTTGTTCTTTTTCCTAGATCTGATTTTAAATTTAGTGCATAAACAGTCATTGCTTTGGAATCAGAATAGCCCAAAACATCAAATTGAGTGGCTTCCTACACTTTTAAAGTCATGATTGTTTAATTATTTAGTTAATATTTTTGAGCTTTCCCTGTGGTCATTTTGTTGTTGTTGTTGTTGGTTTAAAGTGTTCTGGTTTGGGATACCTGGGGCAGACTTAAAAAGGAGCTGACTTCCTTGCTGATTAAAATCAGGCAACATCATATTTAGAGTTCCTATTAGGAAGAATGAAGTATTCAGATGCACTTGGACTGGGCTACCCGAGCATTCCAAGCTTCAGCTAGAATTATGTATTATTTATGGGTTTCCAAAGAGATGTTTAGGAGAGAGAGACATCAGTGTGAGTTAGAATGGTAGGGAATGTTAGCCCAGTGCAGGATGCGTTAATTAATTTGAGTGAGTGATGAGTGAATGATGGGCTTGAAGACAGAAAACAAGGATCACAGAAGTTACTACTTGTGTGACCTATTTGGGCAAGTGTTCTTCAATCCATTTTTTTCTGATTACTGCACGGTGCAGAAATTATGATGAAAAAACCTGGAAACCTTAGGAGTCATCTTAAACTGTTACTTTCCACCATAGTGAAGTTTATATATCTTTTCTCCAACATAAATTAATTGTTGTTGTGTCTGGAGTGTCCAATCAAGTATTTGATTAAGCGTTGATTTTTTTTTTTTTTTTTTAATGAAGGAACAGAAGCTCAGAGGAGGGAGAACATAGGAGAGGAGAAGCCTTCCTTAGTCCCTTCTCAGGAAAATTATGCAATAAAGCAGGCCAGAGTAAATCCAGATTACCTTATTTTAGTATGGTTTTATTGTAGTGAAAAATTGTTACTATTTGTAGATTCATCTTCTAAGGCTTGTAAGATAAAATTAAGTCTTTATAGAAACTGGGGTAGAGGAAACAGTTTTGAAATCAAACATGAGTTCAAGTTATAGCCCCAGAATTTAAACCAATAGTGTGTTCTTGAGGAAATTAATTTTTTTGAGTTTCATCTCCTCACATACAATATGGGAATAACAATTTTAGCCTTGTCAAAGTTGGTGAGGACCTAATGAAAATCACATGTAAGATACTTGGTACATAATGCTCCTAAATGCCATTTCCCTTCCCTTCTCTACAGAATGAATTAGCAGGTGAAAAGAAGTGTTCTGAACTCAATAGGAAAAAGGAGGTGTCTCATCTTTATACTAGTCCAGAAGTTCTCAGCCCTGGCTTCACGTTGAAATCACTTGGAGAACTTCTAAGTACTATGACCAGGGCCTTCATCCAGAGGTTCTAATTTAATTGGTCTGGAATGGATCCAGGCTGCTGATATTTTTAGAAGCTCCCCAGCCAGGGTTGATACCTTGACTATCTGTTCTCTGATAGGCATAGGTGAGTAAAGGTAAAAGAGGCACAAGAGGTGACAACAGAGCCCTCTTTTTTATAGTGAAAGACATAAAGGAAATTCCTGTAGAAGAGTTAAGGAAATTTGTCTGTGATACTCTTTATAGAAAACTGACTGGTTTTCTTATACAGGTGCAGCAATAAATTTATTATGTAGAGCACGTCTTGGAAGTTATACTAGATAAAACGAGATCCTTATATCAGTGGGGTAATGATAACAGGAGAGAGGAACTTTTCAAATCCCAGGAGTTATTTAAACTTACTATACCATGATTTTGTATCTTTCCTGTCCAAGTCTTCATTTTGAAAATGCAGTAAATTTATTCTTGACATTTAGCCACCGGACGAAAGGTGGTCCGTGTAATCTTGGTCCCTGTGTGTTATAAAATCTCATCAGTGGTGATTGCCAGTTGTCTTTCTTAACAGCCAGTTTCCCCTACTCTGTGATTTGACTGCATAGATTTGATTACCAGATTTCCTCAAGTAAAATTGAATTATGTTAAAGATGTTGCTCATTTTGTATTATTTTAATGAAAGTCAGGCACTAACCTGCTTATCCATTTGGTTTGGGGTGTCATCCGTTTGTTCTCTATGAGCTTTATACAAACCCTTTTTGTTATTTCCTTTGCCTTAAAGCTCTGGTTCTCAGACTTAAGTGTGTGTCAGAGTCACCTGGACAGCTTGTTAAAACACCAGTTGCTGAGTCCCATCCGCAGAGTTTCTGGGTCAGTAGGTCTGGGGTGGGGCCTGAGCATTTGCATCACCGCTGATGCTGCCGATCCCGGGACCATAATGTAGGGCATGAGCACTCTGAAAATATCTGAATTTGACTTTCTGTTTCTCCGAGTGTTTGCAGTTTTCTTATTAACTGAGTTATAAGAATTCATTTTTATTTCTTTCTCTCCATATTTTTGAAGTAAGGTTTGTATCCATTGTGTATATTGCATTTCATCCAATTATTATTACTAATATTTTCATCCAATCATATCCAAGCCCTTATCTATTATTAACTCATTCATCCTCACAATACTCCTCTGAGGTAGTTAATTGGTTGTATCTGTATTTTATAACAGAGAAACCAGAACAGTTTACCCAAGAAGATGGTACAGCTAGAAAATGGATATAAAATCTGTATTACTAGATCTTACTAATGTTTTATGTTGTATTTAAAATAGGAGATTATGGTGGGCTCCATGTTTCAAGCAGAGATTCCAGTTGGCATTTGTAGATACAAAGAAAATGAAAAAGGTGGGTTATTAGTAAAATAACATAGCTGAATTCATGCTTTTGAAGTAATGAACTGTTATTTTATAATGAGATAAGAACATGACAGTTTATGTTACCCCATTGATTTATGAAAGAGGACCACTACATTATTTCTGTAAGAAGAAATGTGTTTTCTCTTTTTCCAGTTTTGTCCACGGTGTCTAGCAAAAAAGAAAAAAGTGAATGCTTTTTTTGGTAATAAGTGACTTAAAACATCCCAACTTTTTATTTCTTGTTTTTTTTTTATGTTTTAAATACTCTGAATATACCCTTTCATTACCTGTATAATTCATATTTTAAAAGGTTATTTTATGTCATTGGAAGCTATTGAACAGGTTTAAAAAAGAAGTTGAGTAAACAACTATATGAAAAGCTTATTTGCTTCTGAAACTTAATATTATAATAATATTACTAAAATTGAGTACTTTGATATTTATGTATTTAAAATCATTTGGGAAAACAACTTTTATACTTAAGTTTTACATGATTTTTTTCATCATATTATCTAAAATCCTGAGGTAAGTCATAAATACTTAAAGTTCCAGTAACATAAAATACTTGAGAATTTTTTTAAAGTCTATTTTAGATTATTCACTTTGGGTGAGTTCCAGAAGGAATGCTGTGTGTGTGTGTTTTTAATGAGTTCGTGTGCAATGTGACATCACTCAATGCTATCACTCAATGCTAGAAATCTTTCTTCATTTCTTTTATTTCATTTTTCTTCTCCATGTCACCTTACATACACAGAGCCTTTTGAAGTTGTAGAGGTCTTTTGTTGTTTGTTTTCTTTTTTTAATCTCCTCCCCTCCCCACCCCTCCGCCCACCAAAGCCCCAGTGGATAGTTGTATGTCATAGCTGCACATCCCTCCAGTTGCTGTATGTGGGACGTGGCCCTAGCATAGCCGGAGAAGCAGTGTGTCAGTGCGCACCCGGGATCCGAACCCGGGCCGCCAGTAGCAGAGCGCTCGCACTTAACCGCTAAGCCACGGGGCTGGCCCTTGTTGTTTGTTTTCTTTTAGCGTGAGCTCCAGAAACTTACTTTATATTCTAAGTGTGTACCTGCTTTCAGGGCAAACGGCAGATCAGAGACAGTTAAGGGAACATCACAGGCCAGTAAATTCTAGTGATAGCAAAAATGTTTTAAACACGTTGGTATCAGCTTGCGCACACTTTCAGGTTAATTCCTGCAACATATAGGAACATTAAGGGTATCAATAGGGAGTGACCTTGGTATATATTGAATTTCTGTGCATATGTTTTGTGAATACATGATAATTGTGTGCAAAAATAAATAATCCATTGGCTTTTGTATTTATTTTTGTAATTGAATTTTAAATGTTATGCTTTACTTACATGTTATATAATGGTTAGCACGTGTTCACCATTGAGTTCTTTCTCTCCAAATGAAGAACTGAAAGTTAGACGTTTGTTCCATTTCCTTAAGTTTCTTTTAAATTTTGACTATGAAAGATAGCAGTGCCTATCTTTGAAAATTGTGTGTTTTGTAGGAGAATAGGAAAGCACCTCAGCTTATATGTGGCAAGGTAATATTATGGCGCAAGATAGTTTTAATTATCTCTTAATGTTTCATCTTTTAACATGTTCGTATTGTCAGATATCATAGTGAATAAATGATCACAATCTCTAATTTTTAATGGTTTAAGTTTTGGTTTAATGTTTTATATAATTTTAGAAAGCAGTTGTACATAATTTTTTCCAGGAAAACTGTGGTTTATGAAGCTTTCTCACTTTGAGAATTTAACGTGTTGGATTGTGTGAGGATCTGACTAGATTGAGCAGGGTGATAGTGCCTTGGAGGGTCACTGTGACATGGGGCCTTTCCTCAGCTCTGTAGATCTGGGAATTCACTTTGTCACGATACCCACCATTCGTCTGCACTTAGTGCCCTATGCACGCAGACCAAATTCATGTGAAACTGTTATGTAAACCACACTGTTAGAAATAAAACTGTCAAAGGGATAGTCCTGATGAGTGCATTCTTTGATAATAGAGAAAATTTCGCAGGATATTTTTTATCGATTTGGTGAGAAGACACATTCAAAAGGGAGAGCATTGGGTTTGGGTGATTTTGATAAAAGCACCACAAAAGTAAGATATCCTCATGTTTTCACTGTAGGAATTATTTGACGGATTAGAATTTTTTTATTGATAAAAGGAATCATTTTGGAGAGACATTGATAAATTTTTTCTCTGACGTCTGATTTTTTACTAGCTTCATGCTGGTTATATATTCTTCATCAGTTATCGCTCCTGATCCAAGTAGTTATATAAACAAGATTTGTTAGTTACAGTCACAAGTGAGGCGTGTTCCTTTGAACCTGTATCTGTTTTGGTTACAAAATCTCTACACATTTATTAACATTTTCTTAAATTTATCTGAATTATCATTTATACTCAACATAGTGTATTATAATCATTTGTTATTTATCTTAGTAGCCTTAATACCGAGGATGGTCTTTGTCACATAGGCCCTTAGTAAGCATTTGGTGGCTGAGTCATTAGTTGGGTGCGGAATGGTGTTAACAGGACCCATATGGAGGCAGTGAACTTGCATCAGTATCTAGGCATTGGCCTTGGACATGTTACTTAACTACTTCTTTTCCTCACCTATAAAATAGCAATAATAGAGCATTTATTTACAGAGCCTGTGGCTGAAAGTTTACATGCGATATTTTTGTGTGTGGTACTTAGCAGCATGGTGTCTGGCACACAGTTAAGTGCTCAGCGAGTGGCATTTTCAATAGATGGTTAATCTTACCCATTATATTTAGGTTCTATTATTCAAAATTTCAGAAAGCATCAGTTTATCCTCTTTTGCTTGCAAGTGACAAAAACCCAGTTCAGTTAGCTTCAGCAAAAAAGAATTTATCTGATTGCTTTACTGGAAAGTTCTGGCTGATCTGGCTTCACATATAACTGGAGTCAGGGGTTTTTATGCTAGCAAGTGTCCCCTCTAGCTCTTTCCTTTATTGTCAGGCAAGCTAGGATGGCTCCTGGGAGCTCCTGGCTTACTCTGTACATGTCCTTATAGCTAGAGAACCAACAAAAAGGAGAATGTTCCCACCCGCCTTTGCTTCAGCAAAAGTCCTAGAGAGAGCCTCCATGGGCTCAGCTTGAGTCACACCCAGCCAGAAGTCATTACTGCGACCAGAGAGGAGAGTAAGCACTCTGGCTCACCCTGGCTCATTTATTTGTTCTTGAGGCTCCAGGGGATGTCGTCAGCTCCATTCAGACCGTATGGGAAGGTTTAATTCAGATGCAAAGCATCATTTTTCAAAGTGCTATGTGCGTTTTATTTTCTCCCATGTATTAAACTGAGTAAACACTGCAGCTTTGTGATAAGACAAAATAATTCGAATACTGGTAAGCATCCTATAATGCACAGGACATCTCTTCCCCCCATCCCGAATTATCTGGCCAAAAAGTGTCAGCATTACCAAGAGAACCCTGGACTAGGTTAATTGGGAATTAGATGAGCTACTTAGGAAAAATAAGTCACGAGAAAGAAGCAAAGTGTTCCGGTCAGATTTTCATGCCTGCATTAAGTTTTAGAGTAAGTAAACGATGGCTAGGAATTAGGAAGCAGTGAATAGCAAAGGACCATGTAAATTGTTGTTTCTGATGAACATTTGACAACTTATTGATTCTTCAGTTACTTAGTGAAAAATGAACACATGCATTACCCCTAGTTGATGAAAATAATAACTGTTGAAGCAGGCAGTTCATGTAACCCATATATAGGAAAACCTCAGCTAGACAAAATTCATGTCACTAGTCACAGTGTGACTTTTTTTGTGGTGAGGAAGATCAGCCCTGAGCTCACATCTGTTGCCAATCCTCTTCTTTTTGCCCAGGAGGATTAGCCCTGAGCTAACATCCGTGCCAGTCTTCCTCCACTTTATATGGGATGCTGCTACAGCATGGCTTGATGAGCTGTGCATTGGTCTGCGCCCAGGATCCGAACCTGTGAACCCCGGGGCCACCCAAGCGGAGAGCGCAAACTGAACCACCACGCCACTGGGCTGGCCCCCACAGGGTGACTTTTTAAGAATAGAAATTTCTGTTGTAAACCTCATTATTACACCATAATGCTGATTATGAATCAGCGTTTTCATCCTCATAATATATTGATTAGATAGAATTTTTACTTAGACATTAAAAATGGAATAACACTTTTTCTTTTTTACCAGAACTGGAGGTCAGTAAATATATATTTATTCTCTGGGAATTAATTTCCCAGATTACAGAAGCTTGTTTATGGTTTTGTGGTGATTTCTCAGCTTTCTATATTAGTTCCCCCCCAACACAAACACATATTGAACTTTGTTCAAGTATTGTGACACCTCATTCTGCTTATCTGACGGGCTTAATTTGATTACTTAAAATGCTGTAAGAAACACTCCCCAGCTAACCTGTGTTAATATACTCGGTGAGGTCCTGCCTTTTGAACTCGCACTTATTTATAATCATATGTAAATTATATATCCCAGGAACACAAGGTGGGTATATTTATGGTTGTTTTTTAACAGTTCTATTATTTAGGCTTGGTGATTCATTTAGAATGAAATAGTTTCAGAAGATGCTGTTAGAGGTGCTGTTACTTTTCAGTGATGGTGATCTTTCAAAATCCAGCATATTCATGTCACTTTATAATAAAGAGTATTTTTTCTTTCTGTTGCTTTACGGAGTTTTTTCCTTCATATGGTATTTATAGACATTATTTCCCCTCTGTGTATTTTAGCGTTTTATCATAGTAGTTGAGTTCTTCTGAATTTCTGATCTCTTGGCATTTAGTCATTCTACAGCAGACATTTAATAAATATCAACTGTGTTGCCTATTTTATTTAGATCATAGTCAAAAGTCATATTTTATTTAGAGTGTAAACTTAATTGGAAAATAATTTGGTCTGTTTCTGGAACCAGTAAATGCAGTGTGGTTTATTCTCTGTGGAAATGCTAATTGGTCTCACCGCATGGTCATTTTTTAGTATATTGTAATTGCATAAAACGAGTGTATTCTCAGGGATAGCCTGTCTGGCTGTCCAGTTACAAGTCTAGAGGTCTCGCTTGTCATTTGATACCATCTGGTGGTGGTTGTGTACTCAGCTTAAATAAGAACATTTCTGTTTCCTGTGGCTACCTGGGACTTTCAGAATGATTCCAGAAGTATCTCTCAGGTAGTTTGTGCTTGTTTCATAGGCCCAATATGGGAGTATCCTCTAACTGGGAGTACACTGGGGACTCAGGGACCCACCCTCCATCTTCCTCTTCCTGGTCAGGGTTTCCTTGTAAGGCCTTGTCCACCCCCACCCATCACTCCAAGAAAATAAGAACTGTAATCTGCTCCCTTTGGGGAACAGAGGCTGAGCAGAGAACAGAATCCATGGCAATGTATCCCAGTTCACTTTATCCTGGGAGTCTTACTGTATTTACAATTGAGACTTTCACTAGGATTGTACCAGCACGTTAGAAAAGGAATGAGGTCTACTAAGGAAAATTTCTAGATATTGTCCTTGAGCTGTACTTTAAAGAAGAGTGTCTATTTATTTTGGGAAACAGAAAGGTAAAAAAGAATGTTTTACAGTGTATGTGTGTGGTGGGCGGGGACAAGGTGATTTATATGAAAACGTTTAACATAGTGCCTGGTACACAGGAGATGCTTAATTTGCTGTTAATTTTTTATTTCATAACACAAAGAACTTTGACACTAATAGTTATCCTTTGTCTCTTAAATTCAAAAAGTCTTTGTCCAGCTGGCTCCCTCCTGTTAGCATTTAAATGATTGTCTCCTATCTTTAAAAATCAACAAACAAAACCCCAAGCTTTCTTCAGTTGTACTTCTCTCCAGCTATGGCCCTGTCTCCTCCCTCACAGCAGACTTTTCAAGGGTTTTCTCCTGTATGTCTTGCCCTTCCATGTACTCTTCAGCCCTCTCCACTATGGCTGCGGCCTCCGTCTCTGCTCAGAAATGGTTCTTGAAACACTGGTGGTGAATCCAGTGTACCTTCAGTTTTCCTCCCAGTCGTTTGACAACATTTGACCGGTTTTTACTCTTGGAAACGTTTGCTTCCCCTGGCTGCTGTGGTGCTGCACTTTTGGTATTTCTTCTGTCTTGTAGCTGTTCCTTCTTAATTTTGTCTGTGTTTTCATCTTCCTGTTATTTAGAATTCCAGAAGGCTCTCATCTTGGGTTCTCCTTTCTTTTCACTTTCTAGATTTTGATGAGGTTTAGGCTTTAATCTTATTATAATGGAAATTCTGATGAAACCTGAATTGCTTTTTTAAAAAGCAGTGACTTTTGTTTTTATGAAAACGATTTATGCTCATTATAATACATTTTCAAGCACCACAGAAAAATATAAAGAAGTAAAAAAAAATTGTCCCAAACCCCACCACCACGAAATATGCCGTGTTCACATTTGGTGAGCACTCTTTTAGACATCCTTTTTCAGAAATTAAATTATAGCTAATATCCTTGGAACTTTACTTATGTCAGAATTGTTTTAAAGTGCTTTAAATCCTTAGAACCCTATGTGGTAGAGTTTTTATCCCATTTCACAGATGAGGCAGAGAGAAGGAAGTAACTTGCCCAGGGTCGTACAGGTAGTAAGTGGTGGCTGTGCTGTTTAAACCAAGAGAGCTTGGAATTCGGTAAACTCAAGCTAAGTCAGACCGGATCTGAACGGGGCATAAAGTGGTACCTCCCTGTTTAATTGGCTTACATCACCATGCTATAAATATTGCCTGAGAACAAAGTCAGGCAAGTAGTAGGACCACACTTTACCTCTCGGTTCCCAACATTTTGGCGCTAAATATGAGTTATTTGTTCAGTGATATGTTTTAACATAAACTCTATCATTTTTGGCATTTTCTTTTTAACATTATATTTTACTAATTTAGTATATGAAAATGATGATCAGCTCCTCTGGGACCCTGAATACTTACCGGAAGATAAAGTGATTGTGTTTCTCAAGGATGCATCTAGAAGAACAGGTGATGAGAAAGGTGTAGAAGCAATTCCTGAAGGATCTCACATAAAAGACAATGAACAGGTACATGAATAGGGAATAACTGGTGCAGTTTTCCCAAAATAAATTAACCATATACATTTATAAATGTAAATGCTGTCACATTCAGTGTTATTCTAGCCACCAAAATTCCAATAATTCATCAGCAGGGAATCTGAGGTTATAATCAGCATGAGATACCTAGTGTTAACACACTTACTTCACTGGTATAATTCCAGCTCAAATACACAGAAATCTTGATACTTTCATTTTGCCTGTACATATTTTTTATTAGGCTTTGAAGTTCCTTTGGATATTCCTAAGAATCTGTGGACATCGTCAGGTTGGGAATACACATCTGGGATAATGATATGCTACCACAAACCTCATAACAGTGTTATATTTTTTACCTTTTTTATCAATGTTTTTCTTTTCTGACTTGTCTTAAATTATCTTAGAATAGGAACCCCAAAAAGAAAGGATTTGTGATTTTTATAAAATGATTTGTTTTTATTTCTAAATTCCTGGGATACTATGGCTGCCAAGTTATTCTACATATTTAGAGGCAGTTAATTATGAGGATTGAGTTAATGTTTGTTTTTCCTTAGTGTTCCGTATGTTACGTTCAGTAGAATTTTTTGTCCTCTAGGAAGAATGAAAAACACTGGATTCTGGAAAAGCCTTTACTCTCTTAGGAAATTGTAGCCTTGAACTGTTCATAGTCCTGGTGACATATTGAAGCCTTCTATTTTTCTAGGCGTTATATGAATTGGTTAAATGCAGTTTTGACACAGAAGAAGCATTGAGAAGATTAAGATTTAATGTAAAAGCAGCTAGAGGTAAACATAAATATTAATTTTTTATTTGTTTTCATGATATAGCAGAAATTTAAAACTTAAGCTTTTCAGTTTAACTAGGTGTATCCAAGTTTAATAATACTGATCTTTCTGAATTCAGTAAATATATGCTCAATAACAAATAACTTGTTATAACTTGTTAAATAACTTGTTTATAATACTTGTGTAATTAGGGAACATAATAACTTGATGTTAGGGAAAGCTTCTGGAACAAAGTGATTTTTTGTGTGTATGAAGAAGGTCAGCCCTGAGCTAACATCCGATGCCAGTCCTCTTCTTTTTGCTGAGGAAAATTGGCCCTGATCTAACATCCATGCCCATCTTCCTCTACTTTATATGGGACGCTGCCACAGGATGGCTTGACAAGGGGTGCATTGGCCTGTGCCTGGGATCCGAACCTGTGAACCCCGGCGGCGAGAACTTAACCGCTACGCCACCGGGCTGGCCCCCGAAGTGATGTTTTTGCTGGGATGTAAATGAATTAGCTAGGTGGAAAGGGGGTGAGGTGCCAGGTAGGAAATAATGCTAGGCAAAGGGAACAGCATGCAAAAGTCTGAAGTAAGAAAGAACAGAGCAGGTTTAAGGAATTGAAAGGTGGCCAGTCTAGTTGGATCACAAAGAATAAAGGAGAAAGTGGTCCAAGTTGAGGCTGGAAAGTTAGGGACCAAATCCAAAATATTATTAAATAAGGAGTTTTTGTCACTTTACCTTTTTGCAGCCATCAATAATAGAGCTCAGGAGTAAAATACTTCCCTCATTGTTACCAGAAGGTTACATTTTCATTTGCACTTTTGTTTGTTATATGCAACATTTGGGGGGAGTATTGCTTAACAGTTTTTTCCTCCCATTTTGTCAGAGGAATTATCTGTTTGGACAGAGGAAGAGTGTAGAAATTTTGAACAAGGGCTGAAGGCCTACGGAAAGGATTTTCATTTGATTCAGGCTAATAAAGTGAGTAATGATATATGTTCTTTCTATTACAAAAAGAAATTTAACAACTCGGATTATCTTATAGCTTAATTATTTTCTAATGTTAAAGGTTCTGTAATGAATATTCTAGTATATTGATATTTAGGGAATTATTATAATAAGCATGCCTAGACTTCCTGCCATATATTTGCCAGGTGACTGTTTTCAGTGGGTGATATTGGAACCCTTTAAGAATTAGAGTCATTTACAAATATGTTCATCAACTTCCAGGTGGGATGTGTGTGTTGTATAATGTAACTATTTAAAGCTACTTGCCACAAACTTGTGACAGATTTTTTTAAGGAGGCTCTTTAAAATAATTTTGAAACTTTAAATCATTTTTAACATGACATTATTTACAATTAAAATATTTTTTACATTTGCTTAAGTCCTGAGTGATCTAAAATCAGACACTTAGTATTTAATTTGGTTTTAATTAAGGTTCAGTTTTCCAGAATATATACCTGAATAAGTCAGCTTTATTATTCATTTATTATTCATTATTATAATTTTATAATTTGACAATTTTATTTAACATGATCATTTATCATTCCGTTATTGATAATATCAATCATACAATGTCAATGTGTACCCAAAAGAACTTCATAATTACTTGCAGATTTATTTTTAAGTTTAATTCTCTTAAAACTGAAATCAGGTAAGATTTTTAATGGTAACTACACAATTATATAGAATAGAAAAATGTGTTGTTCCTATAGGAAATAAGAACAGGCAAAATTAAAATCTCAGAGTTTAAATGGAGGAAATTAAGTAATTTCTAGGCTTATAACTATCATGGTTTTAATGAATATAAATGACAAGGAGCTTGGCTTTACACATTTCCTTAAAGATAGCATCTGAGTTTTGTGTGATGGCTTGTGTGGGATGTTGAAAGTATCTGGGCTTGCATGGGCTGGCTTATGTCTGAGGCTCTAAATAGTTGGTCACCACATCCTCCTTTTTTATACCTCTGGATGTGATTGGAGGTGACCACTTGATTTGTTTCAATACATGTTTAACAGGATCTGTTTTGTGTTCTATAAATAAAATAGTTGCTTACAAATGCTCTGAGTTCATTTTTCTTAATTTTGTTGTGCTTCAACTAGTTTACTCTTGATTATCTTGTTGCATTTTGGTATTTGACATCAGACTTAACTACTGAGAAAGAAATTTTGAGTCTTAGCATTGGTGTCAGAAATGTATCTATACTCCTTAATGTTGTGTCTAAATCATCTGATAACCTCCAATGTAGTGAATACTCTATGAAGGGAGTACATTATGCTAATGACTGGCCATGATTGTTTCATGGTTGAAAGGGACAACATTTTGGATAAGAGTTTTTTAGCATTCCTGCTTGAATTCAAACACTTTTGACCAAACCATGCTGGATTACTTATGGAGGGGACCCCTGGGATGATAAGCTGATGTAACTAGCAGCAGTAACAACCCCCTAGAAATTCCCTTTTTTAAAGAATAAGAACTTACTGGTGACTTGATACTACTAGCCAAAAATGTCTTAACGTAATATTGAAAATAAGACCTTGATTTCTCTATAAATATTTGGGATGGTGATATTTTGGTGTTAACAGCAGTCTACCTGACCTGCACCTAATGGGCAAGTTGTCCTAGTGAACAAAGGGAGCACGGTGATTCTTTAAGAGGGAGAAGAGGGGTCCAGTGAAGTCGTTGACTTTGTCTTCACACCTCGAGTTGAAGTTTGGATCTTATTCATAAGTTCTGTTATGCAGGCTTATTTTATTGAGGATTTTTCTGATTTTGTTAACTTTGGCATGTCCTAAAATGTCTTTACAATTTTTGCTTTCAGTAAACTGCAGTTGATTGGTTTGTATCTGTCTAGAACTAAGATTTTAAAGGAGGCAAAAAAGAACTTGAGAAGGTGATTTTTTTTTTAAAGCCCTAGAGCAACATCGCCAGTTATAAAGTGCAAGCAGAGGGGAAGAAAGAAAAACCCATGTTGGGTAACAGAGTAAGGATGTCATCAAGTGGACCTTAGGATCTCTGCTTCAAGATCAGATATTTATGGGTTAAAGCATATCATCTTGCATCCCAAACACTGATGCAGATACCTTTTCTCCTTTTAAACTCCCAATATTTTATTATATACATCAGCCCTACCAGCTCTCCAAGCTAAGTAGTGAAAAAGGGGGTTTTGTCAGCATCATTTGCCAATCCCATAGGTGTTGAACATTATGAAAGGGGAGCCGTTCAGTTGCACAAATAGGTATAGCACAGTAAGCCACTGGAGTAACTTAGTCAACAAAGCATTAGCATTATTATAACAGCTTTTAACTCACTGGAGTATTCTCAGCCTTTCTAGAAAGTAAAATAACTGAGTCTGGATCACTGTTGGGACTAGTAAGAGAATCTTGTACATGGGAATTTAAAGGTAAACTCCATAGGTGCTCTGTAGTAAAAGTACTTGCAAACTGTTTATAGTATTATTTTAACTCAAATACCACTTCCAAACATTTTCAATAAACGAGTATTTATTTTTATAGTAAATTAAGAAGATAACCTTTAAAACGCATAATGCTAAATATCTGAAGACTTGCTGCCAGTGTATTATTTCTCTTAATGGGGGTTTAGAAAGGAGAGTTTTTAACACATCTGCTGCAGTGTTGTATTCTATACATAGTATTATATTATTACTTAAGGAGCAGCTAAATTTGTTTTCAGACTTCAGATATTTTTCATGAAATAACTTCTTTAAGGAAGAGATGATTCTTAAAAACAGCATTGGTTTCTTACAGGTTCGAACAAGGTCAGTTGGTGAATGTGTAGCATTCTATTATATGTGGAAAAAATCTGAACGGTATGATTTCTTTGCTCAGCAAACACGATTTGGAAAAAAGAAATATAATCTTCATCCTGGTGTAACGTGAGTTTATTTTTTCTTTTGAGTCATATATTGTTAAGCTTTTCTAAATTTTTTTGAGAAAATTGTAATTTTTAGAATCTTCCTTTTTTAATAGGATAAGAGTTTACATTGGTTTAAATTTATGCATTTATTGACATATTTTCATAGGGCATTTAGACTTTTCAATGTCTTGTAAAACACTGTAAACTACAGTTCATCTTATTTGAGATAAGTATATCAAAGCAGATGTTAGAGTGTATGTTTTCAGTAGTTTTCCTGAGAGGAAATGGCTCGCAACAGCTGTGAAAGCATGTTTTTGTTAAATTCTGTTCCATTCCGTATAAACACATACAGTTTTAATCTAATAACACTGTGAGAGCAGTGAAAATAGGAAAGAGAGACTGTATTTCCTAAAACTATATGGCCATATGCCTAATAGAGGCCCTTTAAAGAGGAAGGAAAATTAGTATTTTTTGTCCAGTCTCCTTTTGATCCTGAGAATCAAAATAAGATTTGGGTATAGATGATAAAAAGGGAAAAGACATAGGGATGTAATAAATCAGGTCAAATTGCGTTTTCTTTTTTGTTACAAAGTTTCTTATAGAGGAAAGCACATGTGCGTGGTGACTTCTCTTTTCCTAGACTTCCTGAAACCTTTCCTCGAACAGAAATAACATTTAATAATTAGTAATGCAACTTTAGCTTACTCCCAGTGATACAGAGAGTATGGGTTGTTATTATATCCACTTTTTATGCAAAATGCTCTCTGTGTTTAACGCAGTCCCTGCACCATGTTCTCTCAGCCTCATTCAGTCTAGCTTGGAATGAAACACTGTCCCCACTGCCACTAGTAATGTGTTACTTAAGTACATAGAGTATTGAACTCTTTGTCTTACGTGAGTTGCTCTAAAATGCTGATGAATTGTTATAGCAGAATTAACTTTACTCTACTGTCCTTGATTATTCCCTAATGTTTATGGAATGAAAAAAAGTTGTGACTGCATTTGGTCCCTGTGCACCAGTGAAGTTCTGGAGACTGGCCAGACAGCTGCCTTGGAAAGATGTGCTGACATGCTTATTTGAGCTTTGCAAACCAGGATCCTAGGCTGGACTCTTTCTTGGTCATGTTCATTTACAGGTGTCTCTGCTAGTCACTTCCCTGGAGGATCAAACACTCTAAAATCCACAGCAAAGCTATCTAAAAGGAAATAAATGGATATGACTGCCCCTGGAAATCATGGGACATTGGCCTCATCCCCCTTTATTCAAAGCTCATCATGGCTAGAGTGGAATTTCATATATGACAGTATTCCATATTTTATCTAATTGCTTAAGCACGTTATCAATTTATAGTTAAATTGTTTTTCTGGATTATTTATTGGTAATGTTGAGGCATAATGATGTAGAACTAGATATAGCTACATAGTCTTCAGAGTGTATCTTAAAATAGTCATAATTTTCAAGCCATTCTGTAGGGAAAAGCAATAGTAACATCTTTCATTTCTTTCACCCATTTCAGAAATAATGTTCTCACACGAACTACAGGCAGTCTGTCGTCATCAGCAGTGAGAACATAAGAGTTGCCATGCTGGGTTAGACCCCAGGTTCATGCAGTTTTCTCTTTAAGAAAGCGTCTCCAAGGGCCATGTTGTGGGTTGACTTAGCTGGTCCTCTGTGACGTCCAGCTCGACAGGTTAGGTAGGGATGTGCCACCAAACATTTTAGTTTCTCTAGTATTCTCTCCTTAGCCTCTGAAAACTTTTTGAAAATAATTATATCTGTAACCTTGATTCCTTTTAAGGTTGAGGATTCTGTAGGTAGGGTAGCCACAGTTAAAAGTAATCCCGTATCTTCTCTTTTTTCAGGCTTTTTCAGAGTTAATAGTGGCCCCTGGTGTAATGGTATGAATTAAACAGACCTGTTTTCCCCCTAGGCGAGAATATAGTGGTTTAGGAGGCTTCAGACCCTCTGGTCTTTCATAAAGGCTTTTTTAACTGAAAGACCTATAACCTTTTACTCATACGCATACCTTTTAGCTCTGTTACATTTTCTATAAGAAGCTGTGACCAGACCGTACATGGGGAGAAATTGTGGTTTTCTGTAAACATGAGAGGTTTTTCTGGTTTGCTTCCAGGACCTTCTCTTTCTGTTAATAGTTGCACTTTAAATGACTGCACAAAACATTAAGTTAATGCGTTTAGACAAAAATTTGAATGAATTTTTTAATCTTCCTTTTAGTCAAAATCCATAGTTAGCGCTCATTATCCTGAAAGTTATTTGTTCATTTTTCTCTTACATCATTACCTTCTATTTGTTCACCAGAATGAAGCACATTTCCCACTTTTCTGCCTATAAACAGCCTTTGAAAGATCCTACTTCAGATTCTCTATTCACTACCTGGGAGAATTAGTAACCATATGCAAATTGGAGATTTCGCTGTAACAGTCTTGCAAATAATTTTTTTTTAAAAAAGTAAAAATTAACTCAGCATAACTCCGGTTATCTGAACATTGCTCCAACCTGCTGTATGGTTTACCTGACTCTTCTCCTTCCTTAAGCATTCTGGATGCCATTAATCTTTAAGAAATAATAATAATTCTTTTACAGTAGCATGGCTATATTCAGAAATTTTAAGTAATTTTGATATCTAGTCAACTCTAGCTTCCTTTGCTTGGCTTTTAACATCCTCCATTGTCCATTCCCACCATCCCAAATTTATCTTCAACAGTTCCTCCTCATGTGTCATCTGTCCTGTTAGCCTTAGCTTCTCCAGTCCCATAGGCACTCATCATGCTCATTTCTGCTGCTGTGTGCTTCCGATGCGTTACATAATTGTTCTCTCATTATGATGAACGGCATAAAGCTGAAGAGGTCGTAAAGCCCACCACATTTAATTCCCTCCATGGACAGAGGAGGGAAATAAGGCCTAGAATTTTAACTTGATTAGCTTGTGGTCTTATAGGTTTCTTTGATGTGTATTTGTGTTGTACCTCAGACTGTTGGAAGCTTCTTGCAGTCAGGTAGCACGTCGATATATCTCTTACATCCCCATAACCCAGGGACAGGGTGACCCTGTAGTTTGAGATGGTAACTTCAGTTGATAGTCTGCTGTAACCATTACTACAGACTTGGAGTCAAGTCTTAAGCTCTTCCACTGTTTCCTTCTTACCCACATTCTTATTTCCCCTACTCACAAAATTCTAAAATAATTTGTCTTAATATTTCTATTATAGTTATTCTGAGGGAATTTTAAAATAAATAATGTATTTAAGTTTTCATTGAGCTTCTACTGTGTGCCATGCACAGTTTAGGCACTGGTGGTGCAGGGATAAACAGACTAAGTCCCTGCCTGCGGGGAGTTACTCCAGTTCAGGTGTCGGTGGACTTTCTTTGTAAAGAACTAGAGGGTAAAATATTTTAGGCTTTGCAGGCCTTAAGTTCTCTTGCAATTGCTTAGCTCTGCTGTTGGTGACAAAAGCTGTCACAGATACTATGCAAATGAATGTGTGTGGCTGTGTTCCAGTAAAAGATTATTCACAAAAACAGGTGCCAGCTCACAGGCCATAGTTTGCTGACCTTTATTCTAGTGACTTAATAGCACTTGATAGTTTACAAAACACTTTCCTAGACATATCTTGTACAACCACCCTGTGTGGTAGATAGGTCATGTATTACATGCATTTTATAGGTAAAGACACTAAACCTCGGAAAGAAAAGTATTTAGCCCAGATCTTCTAACCCCAACCAAGTGTCACTCTCCATAACTGTCTTCCCAGGCCACATAGTTCAGGAGTGACTCAGGGAAGAAGTGAGGTCACCTCTAATGATACGCTGCAGGTAAAGCCAGCAGATGAACCCAGGAACCTAGTGAGCCTGTGATAGCTCACATTTAGCAGAAAGGTGTAATACAGAAGGTATCCAGGGAGGTCAGAGTGATTCGCTGTTGGGCCCCGTTGGTCTTTCAGGTGTTGTCACAGCCACGATAGCTGTTAGGAGCTTTAAATTCCCATCTGTGTCTGTTCAGAAATTCTTTTGTACTCTTCTGATTGACGTCATTCCAGTTGCTTCACTTACAGATCCTCTGATTTTAGTTGGGCCACTCTGAGCACTTGCCTACAATTTTAAAAGTTTTAAAACTTCATATAGTTCTCTACAATTTGCTAGTTTAAAGCCCTTATCCATTTTTCCTACAAACATGTAACCAAAGGAGCTTTCCATTTAAATGTTCAGATCCTGGTGTGCTAGATGAGGCACTGGAATGTATGTAAGTGAAAGTGAGGATATGTTTGGTAATAAAACCTTCTAAATTTATCTTCCATTTTAATTTTCAGCTGTTTTTAATATAAGAAAATAATTGTTTTATTATTTTGCTTAATTTTAAGGGATTACATGGATCGGCTTCTGGATGAGAGTGGAAGTGCTGCTTCTAGTCGCGCCCCGTCGCCTCCCCCCACGGCCTCCAGCAGCAGTAACAGCCAGTCGGAGAAGGAAGACGGTGCCGGGAGCTCGCAGAACGGTGAGCAGCCTCGGACACGCTCCTCTTCCTTCCTGCTGAAGCTCGCTCTTCTGTCAGTGGTCTGGGAGATTCGTTTTGGTTTCTGTTAAACTTCCAAAGCCGAAGTTAAAGTAATAATTATAAATACCAAGTGAAATGTAGGTAATACCAGCATACATACACCTACATACTAACACACACAGAATCCAAATTAATTGAAGGAATTCTCATTGACGTCACTACAAAGTATGTAAGTTTAATAAATTGTATTATCAAGCGTGTGATTTCTTTTAAGAAATTTATTCTTTCTAAGTAGCGTCTGTTGTCTTATCCAGTTGGGATGCCTGGATGTAAGGATTCTTGTTAACTCTCAGACTCAAACTCCAGCCGTTTTACATCAGAAGTACACGTTTATGAAATACTGCGAGAGCTTAACAACACTTTGTCAGGAAAGTGCTTTAAGCACATAGATGAAAAGAAGACACCGCAGGCCTGTTTTGAATATTTGGTCTTTGATAGCATAATAACCTCAAAGGATGAGAAGATAAAGCAGCCGTCAGCCTGTGCACTAGTGTTCTACAGAAATGGTTCTGTTTTTATCTCCATGAAAAACAGAAGCAAAAGGCATACTGATAAGTTTGAGGTACAGATAATGTTCTTGTTTAAAATATACAGTGGACCAAAGGTCACTGTACTGATCCATAAGACCTAATCAGAGAATTATTTTGATTGCTACTTTAATTAAAATGGTCTTCAGTGAGACAGCTGCCAAGCAGAAAGTTACAAGCCCTCCACTCCGCTTTAGAAGCAAACTGGTGAATTGAATCTCTGCCCACCTGCACTCGGAGGTCACAGCTGTAGGGGAGGGCCCCGTGGAGAGCTGACCTCCCCAGACTAAAAGTAAGAGAGGAACACTGAGAGACTTGATCCTTGTTCTGACCTCTGGTCTCACACTGGCACTGCTCAGTGAATATACTTTGTTCATTTGATGAGCCCTCCAAACTTCCCCTCTAAAAACAAGCCAAACCAACAAAAATTAGGGCCCACAGCCATTTCCTGGTCCAGAAAGGTTCACTGACATGACGTGTGACGGCAGCACCTCTGTCCTAAAGTAGAGGAAGAAGTGAGACTGACCTCAGGGCTAGGGGTGGAAGCTCCGGGAGGCGGACTGTCGGTGCCACTTCTGTCTTTTCTCGCTTGCTCGTAACACCAAATAAATCCTTCCCCTTTCTTTCTTTTTTAACCATTTGATGAGAACATGCAGTTAGCCTAGGAGAGTGTTATAAGTTACCTATAAATTACTCTAGCCCAGAAGCCATTCACAGCAGGCACCTACAGTCCAGATGCCCAGGTTTTGCAAAGAAAGGAAGGAACTTTCCAACCCAATTTTATTTGTTTGGTAAGGGGCTTTAGTTAGTGTCTTGAAATCTTAGAGTCATTTCTGACCTAATCACAGTTACCGAGCTCTTTGGGCTTCCTCCAACAAAATCATTGCTTCAGTGTCAAAATGTTCCTTCAGAGGCATAATCCCCATGTGCGTTCTTGATTTGAGTGTATTTTCAAGTGGGGGAATATAGAATATTTTCTTTGACCAAAATGTAATATTTGACACTCATCCTTTATGCTGAATATATTTTAGATAATTAAATTTTAATTATCTCCAGTAGCACATTCTATATTTTACATTCAGTATCCCCAAAATTTCTCCTCCATTTTGCAACTCTAACATGACCGTTTTATTGTTGCTTGCTTTTATTAGAATAATTATGCTCTTTCTTTTCTCGCCTATTACGGAGGAATTTGTGTTTACTTTTACCATTTTCAAGTGTATGCTTTGACGGTGCAAGCATTAATTTGTTAACATTATGACAGATTATTTAAATCCATTTAGATATAGTGTATGATCTTTACCCTTAAAGCACAATATCCATAGATTTACATTAAGAATAAAAAAGTCATGTCATCTTGATTTTATATGGCAGTAGAAAACTCAAACTTCTGAAGAAAGGATATAATTCTTTTTTACATGGTTTTTAAGTTTTTTGCTAAATCTGAATAATTTATGTGCATATCGTTGCTTTAATTCAGCCTCCTGGTTCCAGTGCCTATTTGTTGTCACATAATACCAACATGCTTTTAATATATGCCGAATCCCGTTCTTAATTCTTTATGTTTATTAACTTCTTAATCTTCACTGCAGCCCTGGAAAGCAAATCTATGATTTTCCTCATTGTATATCTGATGAAACTGAGGTACACAGAGTGTAAATAACTTGGCTGAGGTCACACAGCCACTAAGTAAATAGAGCCAGAATTCAGAATATGTATACACAGATTTGATACCTTGCTTTCTTGATGAAAAGCTATTTTACATTAGCTGTTTTATAATAGTTCGCAAATTTAACTTTTTAATATTAGCAGTTTCATTTATGTTTCTTCCAACTTAGGGGTGTCATCTAATGGACCTGGTGAAATATTAAGCAAAGAAGAAGTCAAAGTTGAAGGGTTACACATTAATGGACCAACAGGTGGAAATAAGAAACCACTTCATGCAGACATGGATACTAATGGTTATGAAACAGATAACGTTACCACTGACCCAAAACTTGCCCACATGACTGCAAGAAATGAAAATGATTTTGATGAAAAAAGTGAGAGACCTGCCAAAAGGCGAAGGGTAAACAGCAATGGAAAAGAAAGTCCAGGTTCTTCGGAATTTTTCCAAGAAGCCATCTCACATGGAAAATTTGAAGAACTTGAAAACACAGATGACTAAAGTTTAGACTTTAATTTTACTTTCTTTGAAGTAAATTCTGGCGTGACTTAAATTTTCAGGGTTGAGGGGTTACCTTAAAAAATTGATTTCCTTGAAGCAGTTGGTGAAAATTTGAAAATCTGAATTGAGACCTGACTTTAGTAAATAAGATTTCATAATTCTGCCTTTGCAGATTTTTTACTTTAAAATTTTAAAGACCCTTTTAAGGATATAATAAATAGTTTAGTAAATTTGAATGAACTAAAGATTTATCTGTACCTTCTCATTTGATGTATTAATCCTAAAATTTCACTACAGGGTACTTACTCTGTACTTAGTTTGATGGCAGGGAAGGAAAAAAACCAAGTTCAAATTGCTCCTTAACCAATTTTCTGAGTTTCTTGAAATGTCTTTTGTAACAGACATTTTTCTCTCCATACAAATTGAGTATCATTATTAAGGAAACCCTTATGAATCCTGAAAGTTATGCTAGCATGATTTTTTTATATATAGAAGTTTAAAAATAAACCAAGTCAGGTTTGTATGTGTAAAATTGTTGACATCAATGATGTCTTTCCATATTCTTATCTGGGCTTAAGAAATACATTCTGTATTTTTCCAGATTCTTTGTAGCCTTTGAAAGATTTTTACAGTACATATGTCTTGACTGAGCTGTTCTTTCTAATACAAAAGCTTGTATAATTTTCTTAACTTGTACAGTTGGTAAACTTTTATGGGAGGAATCGATATTCTGAGTCTGTCAGCTTTCATTTTATTTTGCTAAGGTTTTCTAATGGATTTTTAAGTGTTTGTGTAGTAACTAAGTCATGTTTCTTATCCAGGTGGTAAAAGCATTCATAAAGGATTGTGAAAATTTGTTTGTTTTCAAATTTCTACTTAAGGACAAATAGTTTGAGAATTCTGAAATTAAGCATGATACTTAGATTGCATAGTTTGTTTTGCATTTGCTATAATTTTCAAAATTATTTTTGAAGCAAGATAAAAGTTTAATGCTGGCTTAAGTGCTTAACTATCATGCTGATCAGAATCCTGTCCAGTTATTTTTATATGCATTATGAAACGTCCCATTTTTGCATTAAATAGGGGAACCGGTCAGGTGATACTTAGATATTGGCACACACGAGGAGTTGGCAGGCAAGAATATTGATTTTATGAGGAAAAAGTGATGAAGTCAGAAAAGTTTTTAGACTTTTCCAATTACAATCCAGTTTTTCAGATTTGATGGTGTATTTCCAGAATGAAAATAAGATATGCAGGAAGCATTGCTCTGTGTGAATACAAATAGGATCATCCATTTGCATACCCTTGCAAGAGTGCCATTTTATTTTTAGTGCAAAATTCTTGTTAAAAAATGTAGTTTTATACAGCTGATAGACCAACCTATATCCAAACTTTTATAAAAGATTATTAACTATTCTTGTTCTTATCACACAGGCATACCCAAAATGCTTCTACCAATTCATTTTCAGTCATTAGTTCAAGAGCCACTGCCTTTTTAAATAAGTCTTCTGTGGTCTTGTTTTTAACGGCTCAACTGTCAAATGCAATTGAGTAGAGGTTTGCACTGAGAAATTATGGTTTAGGCCTTACCCCCATGAAGTGTTATGAACACATGTTCAGACTGCTTCCCTCCACCAATGTGAACAACTTTTTTCCCCCAAACAGTGTTAAAAGCCACTTTCCAACACTTGACTTCATATAATGTACATCCACTGTTATAAACATATCTGAGTAAATCAAAGTTTTGGGTGGACGTGTTGAGAAGCGTGAATTTTTTGTTGTTTTTGTTTTGTTTTACCTAGAACATTAATTTATCCAGAATGGCAGCTTTAGCAGATGGTCATCTGATTTTATTAAATGAATCCAAAGTATTCTAGCTCTTCGTCAAAGATGATCTACAGAAATGTTTCAAACGAATAGTGATGCTGTACTTTTTAAGTTGTTGCAATATTAGAGATTCCATTTTCACCTTTTTTTTAAAGATGCATTTTGTTTGCAGGTTTGTGACGTTCTTGCAAACTCATAGTACAGGAACATTTTTAGTAAATTCTCAGGCGTGTTTGCAAATATGGCACATGTGTACATGTTAGGAAATTTTACTTTTAACCTTTTTAAAGTATGCCTAATGAAAGACATTCCACTATTATAATACATAACGCTTAGCTTTTCATAAAGAAATATTTAATTGTATTTTGTGTTTCTACAGGTATTTCATACGATACTTTGTTCATCATAATGCAGCCACTATAACTTGATAAGTCATTGCACTACTTTAAAATTTTTATTTAGTAATATCATGAATTTAATTTGTTTAAGATTTAATACATTTTATAACTCTTGAACTCTTGACAAATTGCATTGGGAAAAGAAGCCTTTGTTAGTTACTTGGTCTCCTCCACCCCATCCCCATCCCCAGCAAAGCACTATCATTTTCATTTGCAATGGTATTCTGTTTTATGATGTGTTTTCAAATAGAGTTCAGAATCTGCAACTCAGTTCAACGCAAATCTGTTGAGCTTTAAAATGTATTTGAAGTAATATTTAAATAGGCATTTAAAATTATGAATTACATGTTTTTAAATTTATGCATAGTAATTTTGCACTGTAAAATAATTCCCTTCTCCCATTCTGTCTGCCATTCTGAATATGCTTATTAAAATATTTTTTTAAACATGATTTGCCTACATAATGGTGTGTGAATGATTTTCTTTAGATTGATTCACTAGGTTTTAATTTGTATGAGGCACATTGTTTACAGTGCAGATATATACAGTCTCTGCTCCTTCTGCTGCTGGACGCAGTGTTTCAGGGGCTCCCGGTCCCTTTCCCTCATCTTGGGTGAGGTACTTTTGTCTTTTTTTTCCTCCAGAGAAGTCCTTTTGTCTGAGGACCCCTATTTACCTGTTTCTCTTCCTCTGAACTATGTAATTAAAAGTATTTTGGTCCCTTCTTTTGCACTGCAGCTCATATCATATAATATTTTGCAAAATCTTTTTTGTCACAGTATCCGTTTTGCCCTCAGTGGAAAATTAAGAAGGGGCACTTTGAACAAGTGAGAGTTGGTGCATTTCCGTAGGCAAGGTGTGTGCAGATGACCCTGGGGTGTGTAGTATCACTACTGAATACAAAGTCAGAAATAAAGGTTTTCCCGGCTATAATCCATATTCATGAAAAATGTCATTGTGGGAAACGACATAACATTTATGGAGAGGAACAAGGAATTTCCAAATCTTAACCTTTTATTCTATCTATCTCCCTAAAAATGACCTTTTCCTTCTGTATCACGATTCGTTTTTTTTTTTTTTTGTGAGGAAGATTGGCCCTGAGCTAACACCTGTGCCAGTCTTCCTCTATTTTGTATGTGGGTCATGGCTGCCACAGCATGGCTTGATGAGCAGTGTGTAGGTCCATGCCCGGGATCCAAACCGGCGAACTGGGCCACCGAAGCGGAGCGCATGAACTTAACCACTATGCCACCGGGCCAGCCCCTGTACTGGCATCTTTTGACATCTGTACGTATGTGGAGTTTTTCCTTTCCCGAACATGGGTTTTTTTTTTTTTCTTAGCTTGTTTTTATACTAGCTCGTATGTCTTATTTAGGATGTATAATATACTTAAAATGTCATTTTGCTTGCTCTAAGAAGTAAATTTGAACGCACTTTTAAAGGCTACCTATTCTGTGAAGAACATTAAAGAATCGCCGTATAAACTGGAGTGGAACTCGATCCTTTTTCCAAATTGATGGTAAAGGTTTCATCACATTTAAATGTCAATGGTGACAAGTTTTCCTCGTGTTTCCATCTACCCTATCCTCCAGCAAATATTCAGGCCTGTACTTGTGCCAGCTACTACTGTGCTTGGCTTGTGGCTTCAGAATGTGGCATGTCCTCTTCCTGAGGGAGAAGGCGACAGCAAGTGAGTGCCATCTATAGTAGAAGTGTATGCTGAGTACAGTCAGGGCAGAGGGAAAGAGTAGGCATGATCTCAGAAAAGAGTTGACTAGACTCTGCCATACAATTCTAGCTAAATAAGGTTTTCCTTCAACTTAATATTTGTTAGAAATTAAGCAACGTGAAATAAATGTGCGATTCCCCTAAGACAGACCATTTATTTTTAACATTCACTGCAGGGCTGATTATAACATAACAGCTGTGGTTGATATTCAAGACTCGCCGCCGCCTCTGGTCATTCACTGCCCGGTGGGCACTACCCTAAGTTGTGGAGTCCCCTGGTCTCCTGAGGATTGGGGGTGGTGAGGCCTAGTGCAGATTTGGCCTGGTTCTAAAACAAATGCACTCTTGGCCAGTCTCATCATCGCTAAGAGGAATGGCTGATGGGACGCAGAGTTGGCTTAATGTCTCTTTCTGCACACCAGTTAGAGCGTATCTGTAGAGTGAGTGCAGGTAGTTCTAAAATGTTTTTGCTCTTTTCTCTCTGAAAGAAGATGGACCTCGGACTAATAGAAGAATATACACTTAAACTTTTTAAAGAAACAAAGAGGAGGTCTGGACCCTGAATTAGGTAGGGGTAGGGGTGATTTCTGTCAAAACTGAAAGGGATCTAGCAGAGAAGGGCAACAGACGAAACAGCCACTTGAAATTCCTGACGAGAAGATCGAGATTTAGGGACAGAGCTCGCTCCAAAGAGGGACTTCCCAGTACCTGAGTCTACTCGTCACCAGTTGTGTTTCAGCTGAGTGAACATGGTTAGGGGCTAATAGTGGTGCAGTCATTCCGAGTATGAATACTCCATTAATCCCCTCTGCACACGTCTGTAGATGGTGGCCGTTTACTTGGATGGCTGCTGGTGCTGAGCTCGCACACAGCTGGAACTGTGAGCTCCACGAACTGTTTTGCCACGTGGTCTCTACTGTGTTGCTGTCTGCATTTGCCTCGGGTGTTTAGGAGACAGGCATTTGCACTTAAAAACACAATATAAATGCAACTGGGCTATGTCTACAAAGTCCCTAAGTGGCTAGTACCAAGCCAAAAAGAAGAAAACAGCTGACTAAGGATTGTGGCAGATGAGGTGGCTTAGATACCTTTAAGTGAAGAGTAGGATGACACCAGTTTTGTTAAAGCAATTCATTTCACGTATATGTCTGGGTAGGAAAGATAATGAAGGCCACATGCCAGAAATACTAGTTCGTTCTCAGTGGTGGAGTTAGAGTGGTCAACTCCGTTATTAAAGACATACGTCTTCCATGTAGCGCTTGTCACGTGAGCCATTTTGGTTTTGCACAATTATTTCCCCTTCCGATCATAAGCCACATGAGAGGAAGGGCCACGCCTCTGTTTTCATCACCAGCATATCCCCAGATACAAGCACAGTGCCTCTCGTCTTACAGATAACTCAAATATCTGTTCATTGAACACATTAGCTTATTTTCCAATTGCTTATAATCACTCGTCTCATCTGCTTTGAAGAGGGCCAGGCCAACGGGCTACACTCAGGAGACTGCGCCACTCTATTTCCCTGTTCCTTTGGGGATAAATCCTAAATTGCACTTTGTACTACCCCACTTTCTTCATTTGCACTGAAGGTGCGTTTTCGTCTAGGCACTCCGTCAATTAATCCCACCGCTGGTAGAGAGGCTGCCATTTTCCTTGGTTTTTTTGAGCTCTGACTCCAGGAATTTTAAAATCTTTCTTTCCTCCACAGGTTAAGTTATGGAAACAGTGTCTCCCACTGCTTTTGTGTAATCCTATACCTCAACACTCCCTCTCCCTTAGGCCTGTTGATTTTGGGAGGAAGTGAGGGGAGGAGAAGCAACATTTAACACGGATGTCAATGACCACAGGGCTAGCCCAAGACACCCTCTGGGTTCCACAGAAGGCCCAAGTCAGTTTTTGTGGCTTGAATACTAGCAGTATCACAGTCCTTTTATTTCCTTCTTTAGTGGAACCTGAGTAGAGATTAAGTTTCCTGTTGCAACGTCAACTCACCATCTATAGTGACAAACTTAAGAAGGTTTCTGAACCAGTGTCATCGTGTATCCATGCTCTCATCTATAAGTATACCCCGTGGGCCGACAGGGAGAGCAGTGGACTTCCTCTGATGCGTGGAGCCACATTCATGTTTGTTATCAGTACTTCTAAATACTCCATTTCAGAACAAACATCCCAAAGCCCCGCAGGGCCCCACCGTGCCTTTCCTGATGTCTGACGCTCCCTCACACTGTAGCTCCATTTCAACCAAGGGACAATCAGAGTCCTCCTGTTCAAAACACTTAGATCCTTGTACACCACGCCACCTCTTCCCATCCCACTCATCCAAATTCAGCCATACTTCAAGACTTCTCTTGATCTGGCCATTACTTGTAACCGTGTGCTAAATGAAACATCCAAACTGCCCATCTTACCTACCGTCCAGTGTCACAGGGCCATTGGGATTTAAAATCACACACAGGAAAATCATCTCCAGAGAGCACTAGATCAAGACCCAGTATTAGTACAGGTCTACAGTTCCTTATCCAAAAATCCTTGTGGCCAGAATTTTTCAGATTTTTGAAAAATAATATATCTTTAAAAACATCCACAGCAGGATCTAGAACCTATGAGTAAAACACGTGTGTCCACAGTAAATTGTATTCACATTCACACAGATTTCATGTCAGATATTGCTGCCAAATGAATTTGGCAGCAAACTCAAGAAAAAACTTAATTTTCAGAGCACTGTGGATTTCAGAATTGCAAACTTGCAGTAGCCTTCCAATTTTCCTTAGCACTCACTTGGCAGTTGATTCCAATTCCCTTTACTTTGTGATGTAACTGGCAAAGAGGCATGTAAACAGGAAGCCAACGGTAAACCAGGGGGTTCCCTTCCATGCAGAAGTGCCTACAACAGAACCCCACACACTGGGCTTTTCTGCAGAGCCAACAAGGAGTCTGTAAGCAAAGAGATGGGTGAGAGGAGGCTGCCCGAGCCCAGAGGGGGCCCTGCCGGAGCCTCCCCCACAGTCCTCTCATTTTACAAAAGGGAAAACCCAAGGCCCAAATAGAAAAATGACTTGTCCAAAGTTCAACAACCTTAGACCGAGCTTCTTAGACAAGGTCAGATCCCTCTGTCCTTTTCCTTCACCGACACTTACTAGTTTACAATTATGTACCCATGGCTGGGGCCATGGGCTCAACCCTTGGCGGATCAGGCCCTATGGCCAGCAGAGTAGAGTACTGCTAGCCCCACATCACTGTGGCTAGGCAGGTGGCTCTCATAAGGCAGCAGCTCCTTTTGGATTCATTTGCCTAGACAGCTGGGGAAGAGACATTCTCTCAAAAGGAGCATGTGTTGGTCAAAGAGGAAGGTCACTAGGCAGCTAAAAAAGCCTATTGCAAATAACACCATGTACCACTATTGAGTGATTGCTGTTACATGCACTGTGCTAAACACTCATGATGAACCAATCCTCACAACATAATTTCCCCCGTTTACAAATGGGGAAACGGACCCACTTGGAGAAGTTGAAAGACTTACCCTTTCCAATGATCTGGATTTTGTTCAACTTCCTAAGTCAGATCTTTGCGTTCAGTGAAGATGTGTGTTGTAGGGTAGAAAGCAAATGTTGCTTGCAAACAACTTAATCTCCTAGCCTTTTCCCCACAAGTCTGAGTTCTGGAAAGGAGAAAGTCCCCCAAACTGGAAAAGAGATGGTCAGTAGGCTCTAAAAATAGCTGGGA